CTTCTATAGATGGTTGCCACTTCGTCAGTTTTGCAGATGGTAAAAAGTTATAACTTCCTATTCAAAATACGTTTAAAATATTTGAAGTTTACTATTGAATAAGGTTTTTTGTTGAAAACTAAGTAGTTTATATTTAGCTACGATCTATTATAGCGTGAAAAATTGTAGTTGACCAGGTAAGTTTATGAAAAGGCATTGATGAGCGGTAACACTGTAGCAAGCAACACTGAGGGCTCCAGTAATCGACAAAATTCTGCGTATACAGACTGCGTTTCAGTATACGTCCTGCATTCTTGACTAAAAGCTCCAACAGTCAACGACGTAACGTAGACGTAGGTTAACGCAGACACGATCTACCTTATGGGATTCGCGTGTAACCGAAAACTCACCACCGCATGGCGGTGACGTTGCCGTTGCTTCTATCTCTCTCAATCAACAGTAAGTTTGATATGCTGCTACGTACGTCAACCTACGTTTACGCTACGTCGTTGACTAACTGCGCTTTAATTTCAGCTTTAACGTTGTCTAAAAATTTTCACCAGTCCTTAAGCCGTACGCGCATGGTGTCGAAATTATAACAAACTATTAAGGTGAATTTAACTTTTCAAAAAAGATGAAAACTCATCGCACTATTATTTTATATGTGTCGATTTTAATTTAAAATTAACAAAATTTACATTATTTATCGTTCTAATTAATGCTGCATAACATAATCATGCAATTTAGCTACTTCTATCGTTTAAATACAATATTATTATTAAATTTTGTGTAATTTTTGCTTGTAACTAGAAAGCAGTTTTTATCTATTTTATGTATATATATATAACACATATCATGATTTTTTCCGTGAATACGTATGAGTACGCAGAAGTCGTTAAGTTTCAATCACATCAAAATAATTTAATCCACTGAGTGATTTCCCAAGCTTTGCACGTCCAACTCGCTATTGGAACTAAGACTAGGTGAAATTGTGGTTGAATTCGAGGCGAGCCCACGATCCAAATTATAATATTGCATCACCTTTTGTGGTGGCCGACTGGAAACCACTTCTGTTATCTGTGTAACTACCCATTTTGTAAGCTTTATAACGGCAATATGAGCAGCAAATTGCAAAACAATGGCGCCAAATCCTTTGTAGAGACCCGAAAACCCTTCTGTTGCCACAGTGGTGCGATAACAATCGATAGCGCCCTGGTAATTGGTTAGTATAGGCACAACAGCGTAGCCATTATCCAGATTATCAATAATAGTGCGTGTTCCTTGTAATTGAATACGATGCAAAATCGTTTCAAAGGGATAGAATATAATTTCTGTTGTTAGCATTGAAATAAGATTCGAGTAAATTTCAACATTTTGATTCTCCAAGGAGTCATCCTTATATTTTGCACCTTTACGTTCTTGGGCTTGTTGAATGCGTCGACGCATTATACGCGATGAAATACCCTTGATAACAAGTCTAAAGGAGATGTATACGAAATGAGATATTTTTTAATTGTGTATTGTATTTTATTTTACCCAAACAGATATTTGGTAATGCCCACGGACATGCAAGGGCCTATCAAAGCCCACGCAGGCAACATACGCCCTTTTTGTGGTGAGCTCCAATACAGCAAGCGTAAACTGCCTTCCCGGAAGACATCAAAGAGTCCGGGTTTCTCGCTAGCTATATCACTTTGTACCGTCTCCACTAAAGAAGCGGAATAAAAGGGCATCACAATGGCAATGCTCACGCTGAAGCAAGTTTAAGAAAAAGTTATAAGTGTAACACTTTTACATTCTCATTGAAAACTACAAACCATTTCAAAATTAAATGTTGACCAAATCGTTTAAGTGATGTCCGGCTGTCCACTTCCCTGACAAATAAATAACATGTTAAAAGGTGTAGCCTAAAACATTTGTTTTAAATTACAAAAGTAATACTACAAACTCAACACATTGGTATATTTTGCAACATTTCACAAAACAAACAAATCGCTTACTTCGGCCACTGGGTAATTTTTGATACAACATCATCCACAGCCAACGACATTCCACGCACTAGCAAACAACTGCCTAGGCCCTTCCACAGCGTAGTGACACCTTGCCGCCGATGCAGGTGTATAATGCTGGGCACGAGTGCAAATGGATGCAGATGATAACTACGAGTATACATAAAAATTATAACCATTGATTAATTTTTTATTTTTTTTTACTATACCGTTTGGAAGCATTGTAAACTTGGCATTGTCTGCGCAATACGATAAAAGGGTGACTGAGCAGATTTTCGGTAACCAAGCTGACCCATTGAACACCTATGCCGAGATACTTCCGAATGGAAATCTCTATAAAAAAATAGATTTACGGTGGTTAAAATTCAACTTTATATACATTGTTATTATCCAATAAAAAAGTGGGAATGCGTAAGGAGAAGAGCTCTTTACGTTGTTTTGTCAGGCAAGTGTACAGAAAAGTTGATTTTACATGCGTTTAGTTCAATTCTTATAATTTCTCGCACACACAACCCATAAACAAATGCCTAGCAAAATTCTACGTACGTGTAACACCTGCTTCATCTTTATAGCCGCCATCAGCGACAAAGCCTCTGTAGAATGTGGGTCTTGCTTAACAGCAAATTAGAACGTAAACAAACAATAAATATTTAAAACCAGAAACAAGTTTAAACTAGCAAAACAAAACTGAAAATGAACATCAATGGTGGGTACGAACTAATACAAACTTAGCTTATCTTTATAAGTTAGAGCTCACCATCCTCTTGACTGTCATAGTAGTTTTCGAGCGCTTTATGCTTTTCTAATGGTAATGAGAGATCACGCTCTGAGTTGACATACTTCATTCCTATTAAACCGCCTGCCGTCACGTCATGTGCGGAACCGGCCAAACTGTCGAGATAGGCTTGTGTATGGCGGTCATCTTGTACCGGTAAACTTAAAATGGAATATTTAATTTTTACCAATTTTTTTTTTAGGAAACAATAACCACTTACTGTATGTGTGAACGTTGTAAATTTAATGTGTTTGGTGGCACATGACTACTAGCACTAGTTGTAACGTTTGATGTGGCCATCATTGATCCCTGCACCTGACCTGCACTATAAATATTACGTAGTCGCGTTTGATGTTCGGGCTCATCACTGTCATCGTCCTCATTTTTTTGGTTTGTCGCGTACCTGCAAACGGAAGAACGTTAGCTAAAATTGTGACTTCTGCAATCCATTGCGAAACAAAATTTATATTCTGGTTGGCTCACATCAATGTTGAATAATTATTCATTCCGGCCATTGCACGTTACGTTTTCTATGTTTGCACAAAATATATAAAATTTTGTGGACGCTACAAATTGTACGATTCTTTAGCTATATTCTATATTTCTTAACTAATAACTGAAATTATATATTTTTCCCCAAGTAAAAAATAAAAAATTCTACAGCTGCTCCTCCTTCAACCGAACTAATGTCAAAATTTGGCAAGTGATTCGCTACAAAAACAATGCGCATGGGTGTTCAGTGGCTGACAAAATACAACACAGTGTTGGAATGTGTACAATCGATGTTTCTAATTGTAATCTTTTTTTTTATAAAATCTGTAATTAAGTAGGTTAAGAAAACTGAAATTTATTTAATAGCTCAGCAATTGATATTACAATTTTTTTTTATCTAAAATCGCACCTCAATTGTATTTGCTTTTACTCTAGATCAATTAAAAAAAGGCTGGCAACTTTTGTAATGATTGGGACACGGTTGCCACTCTTCTTTGTTCCCAACCAAACTTGATTGTTTTTCCTTTATTTGTTTTTCTTTTATTTTTTCTAATTTGCTAGTATGTTAATTTAATGAGCAAAGTATTTGCTGCTAAGTGTTCATTGTAGCAAGCACGGGCGTTATTTTTTATTTATTTATTTATTTATTATAGTCATTTGACCTATATACATTCACGTGTATACATTTGAATTAAATTTAATGCTTAAAATAAGTTAACCTGTTACACTTTTCCTTCTAAGCTATATAATAGTATGTATATTTAACTAAGATAGCATATTCTCGATGCTGTTGGAATGGACGGGATTCCAAGCAGTACCGTAAATATATCACGTACGATATGCGGTCTAAGAGTGTAATTTCCAGAGCCGCCACAACTGAGCGGTTGGAAAGGACTAGTTTCCAAGCCGCTTCTTATAAACTTCTCTACCGGCAGGCGATCTGAATGGACGAAATCCAGAGTCGTGCTATTTGGTCGGACTGAAAGGACTAGTTTCCATGCCGACCTTCTTATTTCATATATTATGGGTGATCTGAATGGACTAAATCCAGAGTCACCCAGCTAGTACGGATGGAAAGGACTAGTTTCTATCTGATAGCCAATGTTCTACAATGATCAAGTAGCAGCCTTTTGAAGGTACCAACGTTTTCACAATTTTGTATTTGAGCTGGAAGTTCATCAGTTACTAGCGCTGCTGTCAAAGCGACGCTAGCCCCAACGCAACTTGTATGTAAACGGGCCTTTAAAGTTTGATTTTGTCAATAGTTTCAATAATTTTTGTTTTCTGAAATCGCAGCTATAATTTCTACCGAAATGTAAATTAATGGCTGCGTTTCTTTATACATTCCGGATAATCCCATTTCACAGCCGGAATAAACAGAATGCGTTGGAAATATACGTCAACGTTTCATCAGGAACGTTCTAAAGAATTAATAAACAAAAAAGTTTATTCCAAACGTTCAGAATGAATAAAGAAATGCAGCCAATGTTGTTTTTCCACAAGATTTGCATTAAAAAAACGGCCTCGAGCTCAATAAAATTGTTGAATCTTTGTTTTTTTTTTTTGTAATAAGTTTTGCTTTTTGTTATAGACAAAGAACGTAAATGTATCTCTTCTTATACTTTTACGTTCTTTGTAATAGATAAGTGGATAAGATTTTTTTTTCGATTTGGTTGTTTTTTTCAGTTAGTAATTTTTTTAAAAGGTGGCAACCGTGATTGTGGATTCGCTCATCTGCTCCAAAAGAAAAACATTGCTAGATGAATAGAAACTTACTATAATTCAGCGTAATTTATTATAAACAAAATGTTGCGCACGCTCATAATTGATTTAAACAAATTGCGGTAAGTTTGATATAATAATAAAGTTTTTAACTATATAAAAATGTACTCCATAAATCTAACCTCAAATTTCTATCACCGAACCACTATAGGCTGAGTCCAGTGGCGGTTACACAAGTGCGTGAAAAAGGACATTTAACAAGACCTCGCCTGAGGAACCCTTACTGGTTTGTACGGAAAGAAAGATTGGTAAGTATATCTAATGTGTAAACATTTAGATGCCATTAAATAATGTATCTACGTCGATTTATAAATAGGCTCGCGACACAACAATAAGCGGTGAAAACAAGTCTTTTCTGAAAGAAGTTATAAAAGATAAATATGGTCCCCCAGCGCTCATAAAAGGTGTATCTTCCTACGATCAATCGACTTTGATTAAAACAGAACAATTTGAGCGACAACCATGGCACGAGAAAGCACGACGCAGTGGCCTTATAGCGCGAAAAATTGGTCAATATCCACTTTGGTTAAAAAGTGGCGAGCGTATCCGTACTACCTTGCTGCAGGTCGTGGACAACCATGTCATACGTTATATACCTCCTCACGAATATCAGCCAGCGCAAAGACCCAAGGTGGCCAATCTTAATAAATATGGCTGTTTACTGGTGGGTGCCGAATCAGTCGATCCCTCAACCCTAACCAAAGAGTATTGTGGACTTTTTCGTGACTCGGGTGTGATGCCAAAGCGTAATCTGGCGCGATTTATAATTTCTCCAGAGGCAAAAATACCAGCGGGCACGCCGCTGAATGTAGCGCATTTCAGGGTCGGTGATTTTGTAGATGTACGAGGCAAAACGTGAGTTATAAATTACATACGACTTTATTTTCAATTAAAATGTACAAATAAACCCTTTAATCTACTTCACATAGCGTGGACCACGGCTTTCAAGGCGTAGTAAAGCGTCACGGTTTTAAGGGCATGCCCGCCTCGCACGGTGTTACGAAAACACATCGACGTCCTGGTAATATTGGTGGTGGTGGAGAGAAGGGCCGCGTTTGGCCGGGTACCAAAATGCCTGGACATATGGGCAACCGCTGGCGTATTGCGAAAGGTATGCGTATATGGCGCCTCAACACCAAATATAATGTGATGTGGGTGCAAGGCAGCGCCATACCTGGCCCAACCAATGGCCTTGTATACATTTATGATACTATATTGCCACTGCGAAAACAAAAAACCTCACCACCTTTCCCCACAACATTCGAAGACGAGCTTGCAGCGTTAACCGGCTCATCGGATGATATATGGTATGATGATGTGCACAATTTTAAAGATGACACTATTACCTTCCAGCCAGAAACTAGTTAAGTGAGCAAAAATGTTTCAACTAAAAATGTATTTTAACACTAAAGTTAAATTCTTCATATAAAATATATATAAACCTTATAAGATTTATAAAAAACAAGAGGGACTTTCCATATTATACTGATAAATGTCTTATTTTGCAAACGTATACGTTATACTACAAAGTGTTGATTTTTTGAAATTCGTAGTATTTTTCATCGTTTTGAGCTATGAACTTTAGTTTTCCCTCACGCTGTAATTTCTCTAGATGATGTCCAACATTGTAAGCAGCAGCTGGCCACAATTGCTCTGGAGTTTCTTTGTATACATCATGAACCACATCCATAGCTTGTAGAGGTTTATTAGAATTACGACTAAAGAAATCCATTATTTGGTCTTCACGCTGGTTGCGATGGTCGATGTAATAATGAATTTTGTCAACAGGTTGCTTTAAAAATATTTTATAGTATTAACACACCAATAATTATAGAAAAAACATTCCATTTATATTCAATTTGTTTACCTCAATAATATTACCATGTCCTGGATAAATAACTGCGGGCTTCATGTCCAATATTTTATGCAAACTTTTCATGTATTCATATAATTCCTCGAACACAGCAGTACCTTCGCCTAGAATAGTTCAAGGTAAAAATAGCTCACACTATAGTTAATTCTTTAATAAAAACTTACCCAAAATACAATCGCCACTAAAGAGTATACCGTCGTCTGTGGTCAAAACAACATGGTCTGTTGTATGTCCAGGGGTATGTACTATTTTCACGTTCGCGCCATCTACACTTAATTTCTGTTCATCATGCAAAGGATGTACCTTAATGTCAGCGGGAATCTCTGGGCACACATCTACCGCATCAGTGCGCGGAAATTTGTAAACACGACAATCTGAGGATATGTAAATAGAAACTAAATTGGCGCAAATGTGAAATTGTTTAAATCAGGCATGCTCAACGCCGGCAGAACTCCATAAGCAAGTGCCCTGCGCTGGCAGAATTCTATAGGCGAGTGCCCTGCGCTGGCAGAATTCTATAGGCAAGTGCCCTGCGCTGGGCATACTTGGTTTAAATCATACCGCCAACTGCACACGTCTTCAGTACATCCTTTACGCCACCCACATGATCGTGATGCCAATGAGTAAGTATAATTGTGCTCAAAGACGCCTGCTCCTGCTTCAAAACTCCTTGCAAATGTTTAATGTACTCTGGGACATCCATATCACCAGTGTCTATCAAAATGCGGCTTGGGAGAAAAAGGGAAATTTCATATACATAGCATATCTCTGATGAATTTTGACTTGTGTTCCCCTACCTTTTGCCGGTGCCCAGTAGATAAGTATTCGTGCCTTGCAATGTCATTGGCCCTGGGTTGCACCCCAATATGCGTATAACGGATGAAGTGAGACGCGTTACAGGTGGTATCAATGCCATTATAAACAAATATTTCTTATTTCGCAACACACTTAAATTAAATATTTTCGATAATTTTGTGCCAGTAGAGCGTTTACGTTCTCTTATCAGTAAACAAAAACACAGCCTAAGGCTGGTATTACAAAAGAATTTTAACACAGGGTGTGAATATTGCACTATGGGTATACATGCGGTGACCATCCGTCCTGTCCTCTGTTTTTAACCAATTGCTCTGGTAATTTCTTTAATTTATACGGGACGGCGAATGTTCTGTATTCCTTTTGCAGGCCTATTCTGCGTTGGAAAACAAAAATTTTGTTACCAGTTAGTAAAGTTACTTTCAATTTTTAAACCCTTTTCGTATTCTCCACACTCTTGTAACCGGTAAATTTTGTTACCATCTCATGAGCAGGTAACAAAATATTGCCCCGTGAAATATGCAACACCAGAATTTCAACAAAACTCCATAGCTGAATTGCAGAATAAATTAAAACGTTACCAAGGTAAATAGAATTGCGGTTGCAAGAAGTGGTGACAATTTTGGTAACAAAATTTAGCAACATCCGAATACGAAAGAGTTGCAGAATAGGGGTGCATATAAATATATAAACTTTTCAATCAGAATCTTTAGAAACAAATTTGGTTTGAAGTTTTGTAGCTCGTTATAATTTAATATAATGCTGCTCATTTGCTTCTCTTTTAAAAACCTTATAGAACATATTATACTTTGTACGAAAAAAATGTGTAACACCGTCAGAAAAAAAAATCCGAAAATTAACGGTAAATCCTAGCTACTTCAAACTTGCACTTTATTGTACTAAAATTTAAGGATTTTTTGTAACAAATTTTGTGGGATACAAATTTCGAAAAAAATATCCTATAAGTTTGAGAAGTTACTTTAATAGGCAGCATTCCCACGACAGTCGGCTCTACGTAATCGGAACGACCCAGATTTATATCTGGCCAAGGACTGTCACTCCAACAACACTCCCCAAAAAGTCTTTGGGGAATTTGTATGCTACAACAACAACAACAACGGAGCGTCTGACTCGTTTGGATGTGCTTGGGAAAATAAATATGTGTTAGTTACACCTACATGACTCCTGGCATGACTCTGAATGATTCAATTGTGTGTAATCGAAGGCGAGTCAACACGTACAGAAATCATCGCCTGGATAAAAGATTGTCGTATGTTAATTTCGGTAAGTTGTGGGAAATCGCGATTGAAGTTTGGTATACAATTTCTCAAAAACGCGAAAATAGATTTTCTGCAAAGTCTCTGAAAATGTTACTAGTTCACAAAACTCTTAAATTATTTAATTTTTAAATTTTAATGTTTATTGTTAATTAGTTTTGAGTTTATGAAGGATTTTCTTTAGTAAAATTCTGTCGTAAGCGTAATTTTTTCACAATTTGGCAGCCAGTTTGTATGAAATACGACAAAATGTGATCAAAATTTCTACTAAATTAACGACACTTTTTACTCAATATCTCGGAAACTAAAGGAGATATACAAAAATGGAGAACACCATTTCCAAGATATTGATTAGTTTAATATGACTGCATTACTAACTAAATTTTTATTAAATTATCGAAAAAATTGTAGCCAATATCTCGGAAACTAAAGGAGATATATAAAAACTGATAACACCAATTTTTTTGTCCCGTATTCGGCCCCCATAAATATGGCCACCGTAGGTATACATTTTAAAACGGTTAAGAAATTTGGCTCGTAACATAACCTCCTCCTTTACATAAAAATGTTGGTGCCGGCACCACGTAAAACTTTAAGTAAAATCTAGTTTTGTTACATAAGACTTGTATTGAAACATAAACGTTCCACTTTTGCAATCATTTTTAGACATATTTGTTCATTGTCACACAAATTTATTGTTTACTTTTTTCGGGTGATATTAAAAAATATCCTTATACTTTGATGCTACTATTAGATATTATCGTTTAAATACAAAGGCATGTATTTTCCCATACAAAAATTGGCAATGGCTGAGTATTCTGCAGAACTAATGGTTTATTTCGAGAAACATAAAATAATTGAAATTATAACGGTAAGAAAGCATTACGATGTAGTTAGTATTATAGAGATAAGCTGAAAAAAAAACTTTTTTTACGAAGCGCTTGATGGCCGAAATTGGCCTTATACGACCTACCAACCCACAGCATTGGATAGCCAAAAATATACGACGCATTGCCGACGAGTTTTATCATATGTGCCTAAAAGCAAGCTATACGAACAGCAATATAGGTAAATATGAAATAAGTCATCTCTGCAACATTCTCCAGAAGCTCTACTGTTCAACAACATTGACCTGAAGCTATGTATATATTTATCTAATCTAGTCAAAATTATTTGAAAAAAATACTTATTGCAGATTACTACCAACTACCACGCCGCTTCCATCATCGCATAGTCGTATTTGGCCGCAGCGGTTCTGGTCGGAAAACTCAGGCATTGGCTATGACAAAACGTTTCAATTTAGTTTATAGTAAGTCATATTTTTGAGAAAAAAAATTGATTGAATTGTCAACATACGAAATTTTCGTAGTTGACGCTGACCAACTAATCCATGCAACTTTCTTTCTCAACGACGGCTTGTCAAGATTGTTGCATAAAGCATTCGCCGACAATGTGGCAAAGGATAAATCGATGGTCGTAGCTGAGATCATACAAAGGCGCTTGGCACAAATGGATGCCTTGCGTCAGGGTTGGGTATTGATCAATTATCCCCATAATGTTGAGGAATTCACAGAAATGTTTGAAAAATTCAAAATTCCACCCAATAAACTTGTGTACTTGCAGTGTCCCGAATTAATGGCACTGCGACGCTTAGTGACAAAGCCAGATCTGGGATGCCCACAAAATAAATGCAAATATATAGAACATGAGGTAAGAGTTCGAAGTATTTAGGAGAACTCTTACCTTTTAGCTATAATACTCTCGATGAAAATAGTCTTGGCATTAAAATTAATTTTTCTGTTTTCTACGATGTAATAGATGAGATATTTCTCGCGCAATGAAGCTACGGTAAATGAATATCTTGCACGTCGCCACGAGACAATCTACATAGATGCGACACGTTGCTTCGAAGCGGTGCGTACAAATTTATGGAGGCAAATGGAACGCTTGCCTTATGTGATGGGTTATAAAAGTTAATAACTTACTTCGCTATAACAAAATTGACATGAAGCGTTTTCATAAAATACATACATATATACATACATACTTATATAAAAAATGCAGCAGTTACATAATTTTCTTACATAGCCTCCCACGAAGCTATGTTTTCTTACACCGTGTATATATATTTTGTATAAAATAAATGTGATTATTAAAAGCATTATAAACTACACTATTGAGTATTTCAAGTGCGAAAGTAAGCTAAAAAATCCATTTGCATTGGGTAAACAAAATACAATTGCTTTGCATTCGTTGTTATTTACTTGCTTGTTTTTCTTACAGCTATACGATTAAAATACTCTTGCATAATATTTTCATTATTTTCGCTCTCTTTTTATAAATAAACTTAACTATTAATTACCATGTCCCCTGATGTTGAAGCTGCATTACTGAAGTATTGCTGCCGACAAAGTTCCTCCATTACTTCGTGATTATAGGTGGAATGCAGCATAAGGCCTAATACGCCCGCGCGTGAGGCCATAAGATGGCGTATATGCCTTTCCTGTTCAAGCAGCTCATCCATTTTCAGCCACTGACGTACACGCTCCAAGTCAATTTCGGCGCGTCGTATCTTCTCCCAAACGTAGTGCTTGAAACAGCTCTTTTTTGGTGCGCGACAAAACTCTCCAGTTGGCTTGAAGACATTTGCCACCAACGGGCAACCGCATACATCATTGTCACTTATTTTCGGATCCTTACAATGCTCGGGACAAAGCACGCGCAAACGTTTACAGTATGTTTTACTAGCCGGATTATAAAAATCGCAAAACATTGAATTGCCTTCGATACGTGTCTTGAAAATGCTGCCGAAAGAGGCTTGCGATTCGTATTTATTAAAACATTTTTCCATGTGTTTAATCGCTGTTCGTGAATGGATCTCATGGCCACATGTGATACAGTACATCGATTGCTCATCTTCGATGTCATTATTATCTTGTGAACGATTCTGATCCAGCGTGCTATGTTTGGCACGTTCTACAATCATATCCAACTCCATATGGCGTTTGTCCAGTTCCGCCAACGCAAAACGTACCACAGCTTGTTTAGAACGTATTTGATCTAATTGCTTTTTGTTCTCTTCTTCTGCACGGCAGCTAGATAGATTCCATTCTTGAACACGTTGCGGCAGAACCTAAAAATTCAAATATATTTGAAATTGTATAGACCAAAAGCATGATTCAATAATACTATTATTGAATCATGGACCAAAAGCAAATACAATTTGTCAAGCAATCTTACTTGAAAAATGCGATTAGTTGCCAAATTAATGCCGCACTCATGGCTACAGTATTTTGATTGTGGCCTTGCATTATGTTTACATCGTGGTCCATAGCATTGTCGTATACCCTCCAATTCTGGATTCATGAAAACTTCCGGGCTTAACGAACGTTTCCGTTTTCTCATCCTCTCTTTTGGTTGCTTTTCTTTACGTTTATGACGACTGGCCGTCTGTGCGGATGTTGAAGGAGGATTTGTTTGTTGTATTTGTGGTTGTACTAGTTGTTGCTGTGATGCTTGCATCGGTGGTGCCTGACATACGTGCATTTCACATCTTGGTTTATGACCATTTCCACGTACGCGACATGACTCACATATTCCACAGCTTGGCGCCCGACAGCCGTCACAGTTACCGCAGTGATTTATCATTTGTTTATTCCCAACCACTGCTGCAGATCCAATAATGTTCGGTGGTACTTGGTCCTTTAATTTTTTCCGTTTATCCGTGTCATTAACACCAGCAGCGCCAATTGGCGCCGCAGTCTTTTCGACTGGCACCACACGGAACACAGTTTGCAAACTGGGATCTTCCTCTTTGCAGCGTTGGCAGTAATAGTGCCTAATGTGTTTGGCCTCTTTCTCAGTGATATTGATGCAGTCGCCATGGTACCACTCCTCACAACCATCACAGCCGCTGTAGGATATAGGTAAGATAAGATGACATTCTTCCAAATAATTTGGGAACTTACATCATGAAACGCGAGCAGTCCGAGGTACGACATATACAGTATGCCTGGCCATCCTGTTTCATTATAGTAGCGATTTTCGACTTTCTTTCGGGCAGGTCGAATTCCCGCGCAATCTCTTCTTTCTATTAAAATATAAATAAATATAATTTCCCTAAAATTACAATTAATTCATACCGATTTTTTGTTTTTTCGCTTATCAGCCATGTTTCGTGAATGCCAGTGATAAAGAGATGCCGCTTTTTAATCGATCAAGTCGACGATGTTTGGATTAGTCGATAGCTTCCGATTCGATATTTTTCCGATTTTTTGAGTGGTGAAATAAGCTAGCTGCGAACCATGATGCAATAATACAAGGTGGTATCAATTGTGACAGCTCGATTTGACACTGCCTTAGCACAGTAGAACGAGAAGAAAAACGGGAAGAAATTAAGCCCCATTTGGGGGAAAAATATAAAATTCCACATTTTTTCCTAAACAAAATTTGCTTTTTTATAGTATATTCGTAATGTAATGAAATAAAATAAGATAAAATACCTTTTAAAGAAAAAAAATGTGTATACTGAGAAAAAATAAACAAATATTCAACTATATTAATAGGCAAAGAATTGTTAATGAAGTAAAATTGTCTCACCTAAGGCAGTCAATATGGCGGAATTAGAGCGAGAAGTTGCCAACTGATGACACCTGTATTATTGCATCATGGCTGCGAACCGGGTTGTTTCATGTCGTTGATTGCGCAAACTAAAATGGTATACTAAAAACCGTGGTTTGAATTTCGGGGGTTCTTTAGAGTTTGTTTTCTTTGAATACATACTAAATAATTTAATTTCAATTAATGAAGATTTTGCATACTAGATTGAAGAACTCATTCTTCTTCTTCCTGATTATTATCTGCTAGAAAAGAAAAGAAACAAAGCCATTGTATTTCAGCTATAACTGGCCGTCTCCACAGGATACAATTTATATCTTGATACTTTTATTAGAGCAATATATAGTAGAGCTTATATCTTGCCATCTATTGCCAGCAATTTGGTAGTTTGACAGCTACATTTTTTTAACATTATTGATATTTTTATATAAAAGCAAAAATTGAGCTGTTTTCTGTTAAAATATTTGTTATTATGTACTTGGATGTAAAAAAGCATATTTTCTAAATTGTTTAAGCAATTAAATCCGGCACAAATACGTTCTAGAAGCCATCTTACAATTCTTATATCAATATATAAAAAGCCCTCACAAATATTGCCACTGATACACATAACTTATCAGGCCGATTCTGAACAGAAACTCCCTGGGAGTTTTCTCTCTTTTCCCTTTCCTCCTATCATGAATAAAAATCCCCTGAGGACTTTTTATATTAAATGACGGAGTTGAGCTCTCAAAAAAGTGTCAAAAAACTTCTTCGAAGTTTGAATTTACCCCTCCCAAATTTTTGGGGAAAATTCTACTCCCTGGCAGTTAATTATTGGAGGATTTCTTTTTCGGGAGAAACAAATTCCCGAAGAACAAACTCCCCGGGAGTATAAAGAATTGGGCTGTATATTTAGCAACCAAGATGACAGTTGGACTGCAATAAATTTTATCCTGTGGAGACGGCTAGTAATAAAGAGTGAAGATGAAAATGAAAGCTGCAAAAGCACAAAAAAGCCTACGAAACTTGCAAGTTATAAAATAAATATAAATTTTAACAATTTGAGCAACACACAAAAATAGAGCTTTCGCACGAGCATTTTTTTGGTTTTTCAACTGTCAAAATTTTACTTTGCATTTGGCACAGCAAAATTCAATTTATTTGTACACCATTGCAAATTTTTCACCCGTCCCACCGTGAAAAAAGTTACTGTTTGGCACAGGCCCGTATTGCCTAAAAAAAACCCTAAAAATTATGGGCCCTGTCACACGGTCAGTATTTATCACGATATTTGGATCGTGATGCATATTGATGGATTGATGGATCGCGAACTAATACTACATGTTCAATATTTAATATGGCGCAAGAATTTTTTTTTATTTTGTACGTATATTCTATAGATAACGCTCCACAATTCTTTTAAAATTTCCAATGTTAATTAAAATACATTTACTTTGTTTTGACAGGTTTTAAGCGCCGAGAGCGAAGGCAGAACGCATACTTTTTCGATGTTAGCATTATGAGAGGACAAGATCTACTGACGAAATGTGTGGATCGCGTTTTTAAAATGCTACACCATCGATATTTATTGACCGTATTTCCATCCATGATCCAGATTTTAAAATTTCTAAATATTTTGCGATCCGTATCATGAACCAAAAATACAAGATCACGTAAGAACGCGACGTTGTATTTGTAACTGGTTTTGAGAAAAAAGTTTGCGAAAGCGGGCTGGTCAGCTTGGGCGTTTGTTTACATCACAAGCACCACTATTTTACACTTTTATTCAAGTAAAGAAGAGTTAATTCAACATGACAACACATTTTAAAGCATTTTGTTGCATCATTTCACCTAAATTGTGCGTTTAAAGTGGCTGACAATAATTTTGGCTAATTTTGGTTTTCGTTGTTTTCTTTGCTTTGTTTACTTTTCGCTCGTTTTCCAGTGAAACAAGATGGCGTAGAACCCGCTAAAAAAATCGACTTTTTTCACTCTCTTGTTCTTACGTGATCTTGTGTCTTTCGTTCATGATCCGTATCACGATTCATCAATGCTGCATGCTCCATCGTCAATAAATATCGCGATACTTGGATCACGTCAATAAATACTGACCGTGTGACAGAGCCCTATAGGTTGCTATCGGTCGGTGGTGCATTTTCCTATTTTCACTTCTCTTGTGGTGTGTGAATTTTACTACATGCTGGAAAATCGGTTGTAGTGTGCTTTTAAGGCGATTTTTGCAATAATTTTTCCAACCAAGTATAATAAAATTATAGAAAAAGCACATTTGCAGGGTAAACATTTGCTAGCCAGTAAAATTTGTGCTAAAGAGTCAAACGAAAAATCCGATACAAGCGCTCAAGTAGTGAAAACAAGGAACAACAACACATCACAACAACAATCAAGTACCCTCCAAAATTCAGGTTTTTCGCACGTTTGCCGCCTCTTTTGCCGTGTATGGGAAACGCTTTGAGTGGTCAAAAAATAAATAAAAAAAGGCAATACAATAAAAAGGTGTACTAAATTAAGCTGGAAATTGCAAAACAAATCGTTTAAAAGCGAAATCGTTTGCTGCAAACAAGACATGGTAAGTTTGTAGTGTTGTTTATGCATTACATATTGAGTTCTGTATGCAGTGAATTAGCGCGAAAAATGTGTGTACGTATGCATGAATGTATGTGGTTTGTTCATGCGGCTGCTAAAAGCACTATGGTCACAGCATGGTCTTCTGGTACTTGGCACGTTGCTTGTTGATAAGACGTTTAGATGTTGCGTCGGATTTGCAGTACCGGAAGAGAACGCTTAAAATTTGTTGATGTTAAATTAGTAGAGAAATTTTACGTTTTTGGGGAAATAAGCAGACGTTTTGTAGTTTACTGGGTCCTTGCTATACAATTGTAACCAAAGAAAGAACGTATAAATTTAAGTGGGAAGTGATATTTTTATTGTTGTGACCGCAAAAAAAATCGGCGGAGTGTCAACTTTGGAGTCAATACAATCAACCAGCACGTATTAATTGAAATGATATTGTGCGACAATTAGGTTAAAGTGGAAACCATCAGATATTGATACTTTTGTATGTATTTAAAAAATTCCTTTTTTTAGACCTTGCCCGGGAATCCTGTGATGTCTTCTGTTGAATTTAACTGCTATGACACGATGTCCTATTCGCCTGAACACAATGCCTCGCTTACATTAGATGACCATATTTATCAACACCGTCCAAGTGTAAACGCTCCGCTACTACAACAGCAACAAGAACATCAAGACTTAGCATTGCAAGCGCAACAACAGCCGCTGCAAATAATGCAACAAACGCTACCTACAGCAGCACCACCTTTGCAACCCCTAAACATAACACTACAACAGCAAAAACTAATATCACTTGAAATGCATGCAACAACGTATCCACAGCAACGGCAATGCGAACAAACATCAGCACAGTTCCCCACAGCGACCGCATCAGCCACTGTATTCTCTTCGCTCGATTTGGCTGTGGATAATGTGATGCCAGGAATATACTTGACAAAGAATTTCATAGCTTGGAATGAGGAAAATTTGCGCTCTCATGGCTTCACACACATTATTATCATCGATAAGCACATACAAGAATTATACTATCCTTCGCCGATATTTAAACTCTCAACCGAAAATACTGCTGTTGATGCATTTGACTCTTATGAGTATATTAGTCATCCGGCATGTACTTCACTCAAATTTGGCAAAGAGTTTGAGGCCATCGATTTGAATTTTGGCGAAAAGTCGTATTTGACTACAGTGCTGCCGAATTGCTATCGCGCAGTCAGATTCATAAATAAAGCTATACAAGCAGGTGGTACTATCTTAGTGATTGATTGTAACGGGAGCGAGCAGAAGTGCCTCACAATTGTAGTGGCATATCTGATGTACAAACACAATATAAGTTTTAGGTGAGTCTTTTAAAGCATAATTGCTGTTCCTATAAGTAATAATTCCATGATATCTTTTATTTACATTTAGCAATGCTTTTGCGCGCCTAAAAGACTACTATAAAAAGGCTGATTTGGATCGTTTTTACATGAGACAATTATATGAATATGAACCCATACTACAGGTGCAGCGAGCACAATCGCGCGGTCAGAGCTGCTCACGTGAAATGCATTCGGCTATACTGAAGCGCAAGAAAGACGATGACGATATTGATGTCAATGATTGTAGCAACAATGGCATGCCATTTACCGCTGGAACGGATATGAGTAGTACGAATGAATTTTTTACCACGTTCAATCCATTGTCTAATTTTCATGCTGCAACAAAACAAAGAAGTTTAAATGAAATAAATAGCTTGCATGAATGCCACCGCCAAATGCTGCAGCGCAATCAATTTAATAGGACACCGCTGTCACAAACGAACCCTCGTGCTACTGCAATTTATACCAACAGGTATAGCCCTGTCAGCGACGATTATACTATGGAGTAAGAAAAGAACTTAGTTGTACTTTGCATAGAATACCTATAGTTATAAGTCAAAATTTGGAAGGCTGCAAGAAAACTGCAAGAATGTACATAGTTTGACCGCTCTTCCCCGCAACGGACGGCGATATTCCTAGGTTAGTAATAATGTATATATACATCCATATAAACTCAGTATATATGTATGTAGGTACATACAGATACATATCGTCAATGTTTTTGCAAAACCGCTTATCGACCAGTTTTAAAACCGCCTAAATCGGTGTTGCGGCAAAAATGAGATTTGGTAACCCTGAACTCCAGGCATCGAGATTTATGCATAAAAATCGTTAAATCGTTATTAAAATAACAGATTTGTAAAATAAAAGCTAGAGAAAATACCGCCTATGAAGGCAATGTCTTCAAAGAATAAACCGTTTTTTCGCCCTCCTGTAAAATTTGAGTGCCGTAAGATAGGCGGTTTTGCAATTGGGCGATGGCCGGTTTTGCAAAAACATCGACGATATGTACATATGTATGTAAGTATATATGTGATTGTATGTTAATAATTTAAGATGAGATTTCGTTTAAATAGAAAATACAGTAAAACACATTAGCTATTGCATATGTCTACTTCTGGGGAAATTACGTAAACGAAACCTAAAAAGAATTTAAAATTGATATAAACGGAATTTGCACCTGGCATCTTACGTTACTAGTGCATCTATATTACCCCGGGAGTGAGCTATAAGTACATATGTACATCAGACAAAGTAGTAATTTTGCAAAGGTAAAGATATTTGGTGCTCACATGTGTGTATCCTGAAGTTGTCACACATGTAGGGCCTCTTCAACTTAACGCCGCCACTAAACTGTATAAGATTTTTTGTGAGAAATTTTTTGTAACATACGACTGGCGTGCTTTGTTGAGCTCAACCAAAATCGCTTGGGCGGTCACAGCGCGAATTAGGAAGAAGAAGAAGAATAGAAGTAATTTCAGCTGAATAGTGCTTTGGGTTGAAATCTCTTCTACACAGTTTTTACCTTAGTTTTGTAATCTCACATAAACAACATCTTTCTAAATCCGAGATAGAACGTATTTTGACTTTCAGTGTTATGGACAGTAACAGCCGTTTTTACAAAGCTGGAATAACTCATCGACTGCCGAATATAAGTTAACTCTCTTTTGCGAAAGTTGTTCGCAAGTACCGTTTTCTCAAGGAGGTTTTAAGATTTATCTAGTCTTCAAACACTTTTTCAGAACAAATTTTCTATTTAACGGGCAGATAACTTTTAAAACCTACTTGAGAAAACGGCCCTAAGTGTGCTAGCACCACAGGACTGGCATAATGGAAACAGGGTATTATTATCATTCAAAAAACCAATTCAACCATTTGCATGTTTTAATAAAAAGGCTGATGGTAATAAAGTATGAGATTCTTTAAAACAAATGGCGTAAAAATTAATTCTAAATAAATAAAAATTAAAAAATAATTTTAATTACATTACATTAAGTTGGATAAAAAAGTCTACTTGTAAGCGCAGCATTTTTCCTTGCCGTGGAAGTAAACGCGTACCAACTTAGATCTAAATTTCTTAACTTAGAAGTAGCACATAAAACTAACCTAAAAAAGTATTTAGCTACTGATTTTATATGTAAAAAATCAAAAACCATAAAAGTAACAATAGCGTTATTCTCTTAAACTGGAAAAAAGGAAATCCTCGAATGTTTCGAAACATTTTTTGACTATAACATTTTTACAAAATACATATCGCTAGCTTAGAGTGAAGATTTGTTAATTCCAGTTTTTCCAATTATATAGGAGAGAAGTAGTTCTTCAAAAACTTGATAACAACATTTTTGCGTATTCGAAGTAATAATACACAACTTAATGCCAATCGGTAGAGTTCGAAGTTAATGAAGATCTCTTGCATTCTTTTGAATATTTCGGATTTTCTGGAATTTTTTTGGACTTAACACATCGGAATTTTAATGCATAGAAATGTGCAAAAAGAAAGTAATTTGCAAATCGCTTCCTGTGTCAAATTTAAGTTTTCATAGAAAGTGGACTTATCAACTTTACACTCTAAGCTAACATTTAGATATATTTTCGACAGTTCGTAGGTAACTAGTATGTATGTAAGTGTAAATATAGATTAGTTAAACTTTAATTTAGATACTGTATGCGTATTCATACACTAATATTTGTAATATTTCAATATTTACACATAAATAAATGGTAATCATACTTATGTATGTACATGTTTATTTTTACTTATATGTATATTTCTACATACCTGTATGTATCATACATACAAACATATGTACATATGTACGTACGTTTAGAAATTGATTAAATTAAATTTTAATTTTAATTTGATTGATCGCT